GTTGAATCTAATGTGTGTGATACTTGGATTAAGTGTGTGTGGTACTTAGCCCATGATTGGAATTAGTATAATTCTCGGTGTGGCTGAGTGGACTTACTGGAGACAGAAGTCCTACTTGGCGTGGATGGCACTACCCAAAAGGACGGGATAAGAGGAGAGGGCAAACCAGCCTCTTGTTGATTTGCTGCCTCCTGCCTGCTCTGCCATGGACTGTTTCTCCTCTGTGATATCCCTGTGCCATGCCACGATGTCTTGGAGACAGCTGAATATGGACTGAAACCTCTGCAAACTGGAAAGTGAAAATAAACCTTCCCTCCTTTAACTATGGGTGTCAGATATTTTGTCTCAACAATGGGAAAAAAATAATCAAGACAGTTACCATCTGTTTAGAGGGTAGAACTCATGTGTGAAGTATTCATCAAATGCAGACTATACTTCGACCTCTGGACTGCCCACACAGTATTCTCACCACTTTTGCTACACGCAGTCTCCAGTGGCTGAAGAGAGCTGGAGAGATTTTATTTTCAGGATCTTACTGCACAAGATGCTGTTGCCATTTGTGGTTACAAATGCATTTCTTCTCTTACCTGTTCTCCATTGAAATTTGGCTTTTCCCCTTCTGCCCTTCAGCTGAATGAGAGATTAAAGGGCATCCTTTTCAAAGGACTCTTGAGGAATTCTACTCAGTTCTACTCAACCTTCTCAGTTTCCCTCATTTACATTGAGAACCATTGGTTTGTGTAATGAAGACAGAACTACTGTGAGATGTTCTTGAGTTCGTGTAGCTACTGCAGGCAAATCTCTGGGCCAGCTTAGTCCGGTATTGACCTTTGGTAGCTTCCCTTAAGCAAATGAGGGAAAGCTTTACAGGATCTCCCTGATACCCCCACTTTACAGATCAGGCTAACTTTATACAACAGCCAAAGCATCAGCATTCTTTACTTTCTTGTTTGGAACACAGTACTGAGATCTCATCTAAAAATGAGTTTGCTTTCCCAGAGAGCAGTGAGAAAGATGCTATTTATTGTCACAAATAGGAATCATGTCAGGAATGCTAACTCTTTATGCTTAGTTAAAAATAAAAAAAAACTATTTCTTCCATGATAGAGGTCTTTGAAGAAGTGAATTAGGAAATGTAGCTTTCATGTGCTATTTGAGCATTGACGGGGGTCCATGTGATGATTTCCACGGACCCAGCCTATCCATGTGCCCATATGGAGTTGTGGTATATATTGAAAAGCTGTCTAGTACAAATTGAAAAGCATTCTTATTTTAATTCAGTTTGTTTAGCGTCTAGCAGAAGCATGGCTGCACTTGGGAATTAATTAAGACTTAGGGCTAGTAAGGAATGACTTTCCAGCTAAAAAGGTTGCTAAATACTTGACAAGTGTTTTAGATGGAGGGATCCTAGTTTCTGTGACTGCTTGCAACAGCACAATCTGTGTCCATTCAGGACTTTGAGGTTTAAGTGCTATTCAGTCCAGAAGCAAAGAACAGATGACCTGGATCTTTTCAGCTTAGAGGTCCAGTGGAAAGTGCTCTTAAGACAACTTAATACTGTTTTTTTCCCTCCTGGTTGTCTCCCCCTTAATTTGCACCTCCAATTTTCAGGATCTACAATGTGCTAACGGGCTTTCCTCCTATTAAAAAACATGCGAATGTGAGAATGTTCTCCTCCAGAAAAAATGCTCTTAGGGTTTTGCTTTCTGACCCAGACCCTATGAGGTAGGTGTTGAAACTTCCTCCATAGCACAGTGGGGAGGCAGTGAGTCTCTTCAGAGCCAGCAGCTCTCATGCTAATTTTGGTAAGAAAGGGAGACACTCAGCTACTCTGAGAGAAAAGAAGACAAATGTTTGCAAATCAAAATGGAATGAGTTTCAGACCTGGGCATGTGTTCAGAGCCATCTTCTATCATGGCACCTGTTAAAACAAAGTAGTACTAGTCAGTTAATCATCCTTCCCATCCTGGATTGTAGAAGACCTACCAAAGAGGCAGGAAGGGGAAGGTCCAGACGGGGGTGGTGCTGGCGTGGATGGCCACTGCTTCAGGTGGTTGTGGGTTAGGATTCTGAGAAGAGACAAGAGGAGAAGGAAGAGAGGTGAACAAGTGAGACCCCAAATGTTGTACTTGATCGTTTTACCAGGGTCATCATAGGTGCCCCAGGATCCAGGGGCTGCAGAACATGACGTGCAAGAACAGAGTGCAGGAAGACTGAGGGAGTTGTCACTTTGGGTCATTAGGTATGGCAGGGATTAAACTAGAGTTCCTCTAAGGCACCTGCAGCCCCCTACTCCACAACTCTGATTCCATGTCTTCTCTCTGTAACAAGGTGGTTACAATTATCAGTGAGGAGTTAGATCTTTTGAAAAAACATTATTGTGGCTTGAGAATTACAAGCTAAAATATACTTATTAAAATTCATCAGCATGTGGGCTTTCTCAAGCTGTGCTGACTTCATGGCCTAGGTAAAAATTTCATATTCCTTCAGAAAACTGAATTAGCATGCAGAAAATTATGCTTGACTAGTAGACATTATTTCTACATCATTCTTTGTCTAAGAAAATAATAACTCTGAGAAATAAGATTGACAGTTAAGAGTAAGACACAATTTCTATTAGGTGATTTTCTGGTCCCAGGAACTGCTCAGGCGTTTTACATGCGTTAGTTCATTTAAACCCCAGAAAAACTCTAGAGTGGGAGTTGGCTCTCAACCCTTAGCTAGCAGAAGAGGAAACTGAATACTGGAATGATTAAGTTCTGTGTCAGGTCTATGACTGAGCTGTGGATCCAGCTAACTAACTCTGAGCTTTCATGTGAACTAGCACATTTCCCCCTACCCCGCTTTCTCTGGGGGTCAGCAGGATTGACCAGCTTGAGCTATGCCCATCATATTGGGCAGGATTGTGATCTTCACAATGGGGAAGTAAGAGATCTGCCTGGGCATCAGAGCAAGAATGGGAAGTCTTAGTTTTCATCTAGAGTAAAATGGGTCAACAAGATATATTATACCTGTAATTGTCACTTATTTTCTGAATGCTGCTGTTAGGAACTAAAAGCTAATAATTACATTTATAATTATCTACTTCTAGACAATTGCAACAGTTGGTGAGGATTCTATCAGATGCTGTTAGAAGTCTTTTAGATTTATCAAGTCATTTAAGTCTGACTGCTATCAATGAGAGATAGCTTTTTGTCACTTACCAGGTAGGGAAACTGAGGCTTAATTGGTGCAGAAACACAGCTAGGAAGTGGCAGAACTGAAAAGGAGGCCTAGTTCTTTAGCCATATTCTAACCTGCTTTTCAGGACTGGCGTTTGACAAATCTGAGACATTTGCATCTGTAACAGGATCAGGACCCACTGTCCTTAGGGATCACAGCAGTGCAAGCTGCCTTTCTTTGAGCCTGCATTGGAGCCAGGCATCACAGGTCAATCGTGGCTCTGAGGACAGGGTGGATTTCTAAGAGGGCAAAGGTCATGCCTCACACAAGAGCCTCAGGATAGTGCCCCAGGAAATAAGTGCCCAGCTCATTCTGCTGCCTTTGCATCTTCTGTGCCCTGAAACAGGAAGGTGTGGATTTATTTTTGTATTTTTTACATGGAGATGGTAAATTACTCAATATTCCAAGATTGGGTTTGTGTACTGCATGTCCAGTGGAGGTTATAATGTGTTCAGATGTGGTTTTAGGACCTATCCTTGTTATCTAGTTATAAAGTGGAGCAAAGTGATCAAGTGCCTGCTGACCATAGCCTGGGTTCTTCAGTACAGAGGAGCCTGCTGGTACCAAAGAACCTGTGTTTTCTTAGCTCTCTGCCCAGTGGCTCGGCTCTGCCCTGCCCTCCTCCTACAGGCTCGAAAAACATTTGGAGCGCTTAACGAAGCTGCCTATCATGATGTGTCTTCACTCACATGGCCCTGCCTATGGCCCATGGAGTATTTTCGGCACCCCTTTCCCCAAGATCTCTGCAACACTCAGTTCAGCTTTTGCCATTGTGTTTAAAGCCTCTTTTGCCCATCTTTCTTTGACTCATAGTATTGACTGCTTTCTTTTCTTTTTCTGTATCCTGAACAGACCTCTAACACAGCACGTGACATGCTAGAGTCTATAGACTAAATGGTCAAAATGATCATAATGCTGTTTGGCTTGTGTTTGTTGAACACTTTTGTGCTGGGCATGATGTATCAAGCAATTTATGGTCCCATGTCACGTGACTCTTGTTACCTCCTCTTAAAGCAGGCCCTACTCTGATGGTCTGTATAAAGATGAAGGAAAGGGAAAGAAAGTCTATGTGACTAAGCCACTTTCCCTAGCTCACTCTGGTGGTGTTTCTGTTAATGAAACTATATTTCTGTAAGGCAAGACCACCTTTCTAAGCCAAAGCCCAATGGGATGTACCAATGCACAAGCCTGTCTTCCCTTCCTGTCTTTAGAGTTGACAGAGGTGTGGAAAGAGAAATAGAGATGTTATTGTTGACACTGGAGAGGATTTAAGTACTTGCCTAGCCAGCAGGCAAAAATCAGTGTCCACTTTTCTTTGCATTTTAACACATGTGTGCTAATGGGCTGCTTGACAATCATTGGGTGGGAATGCATGGACACTTCCCTTTTAGTGTGTTCTACATTTAGGGAATGGAGAGATTATGGGGGATGTTCAAGACAGATAAGACTTTGAGGCAGAGGTAGATTTATCTTGACTTGCAGTAAAGTCATGGGGAAGAAGGGTATCTCTGCATAGGGAACTATGGGAAAAAGCTGGAATAATTAACCTGGTCAGCATGTAGTTTTCTTGCCTTCTGTAATATATTGTCTGTTCTCAAAGTTCCCAAACTGGGAAGAGGTTTTCTTCACTCAGCCTTTGCAAGAAAACAATGGCTTGTTAGTTGCCCACCCTGCCAGCCCTCTCAGACCACTTGTGAACCTTGGTGCTTGCTTCTTAACTCATGAACATGAGTAATGTTTTGCTGTTCAGATTCACTCAACTGGGGTTTCCTTTTCAGGTGAACATGTTTGTTGAAGGCTTCCACGATGCCATCCTTCTCTACGTCCTGGCTTTGCATGAAGTTCTCAGAGCTGGTTACAGCAAGAGGGATGGAGGGAAGATTATCCAGCAGACTTGGAACAGGACATTTGAAGGTAGGGATTTAGACCACAGGATGACAGCTCTGTGGCTGATGGAGCTGCTTCTTCTGTAGTGGTTTTCCTCTGATAAAGCTATCGAATCTTTCCAGGGTCTTGCTTTTCCTACTTTTAAGGGATAGATAATAAATGAAGACCAAATTTATGTGCGTTGTAAAGCCCCCCTGACATAGGAAATGTTTCCTTCTGATTATTTAGCTAACAACCCTGTGCTTCTTAAATTTACATTTAACACAAACCTCATGCACAGCAACAATCAATTTCTGAAGAGATCTGTGACTGGCTTTAAAGAAAGTGTTAATTCCAGATAAGCATTCCTTTGGCCAGACTATGTTGGTTTTTGTGAAACTCAGAAGACTTTCTCTGGCATGGTTAAACCTGGTGGTTCAAGACAGTTAGCAGGTTAGGTTTGCCCTGCTGCTCTCACTGCCTGTATTTTTTTGTACTGGGAATTGAGCTTAGTACCTTGTGCTTGTCAGGCATCACCCCCTTTTAAAATGATGCATGTTTATGGTTGCTTTCTTAAGAACAAAGAAGTATAAGACCAACAACAGCCTATAATCTTATTGCTCAAGCAACTTCTATTGACATTTAAAAATTATACAGACAAGGCTACTTTTTTGTTGGTTGTTGTTTTGTTTTTTGAGACAGGGTCTCACTATGCAGTCCAGTCTGGCCTTGAACTCCTGGTGATCCTTCTGCCTCAGCCTCCCAAATATTAAGATTGCAGATGTGTGCTAACACATCTGGCAAGACTATCCTTGGGTAGAAAATTAAAGCAGTATAAAAGTGTAACAAATGAAAAATGAAGGCTTTTCTTTGCATTTTAGTCTTCTTCCCCCAACATTATCACTATTAACAATTTTCTATCTGACCCTGTTAAAAATATTTTATGCCTCTGCAGGCATGTAGGCATATTAATATCTTATATAGAGCTTTTATATAAAAGGGTCATACTGTGAATGCCATTTTTCATTTTAGGTTTTTAACTTGTATGTCATCAATTAAGAGAATTTTCTGTCTGAACACTTACCATGGGAGTTACCTACTGGTCCACCATATGGCTATTCAAGAATTTCTTTAACCCCCTTCAAATGGTGGATGCTTCAGTTGTTTCTAACTTTTGGTATTATTCAGTATGCTGTCATGAACCTTTTGCACCTTTTGGCGAGTTTTGTGAATATTTCCAACAGGGAACTTTTCTAGTCATGGAATTTCTTGGCCCAAAGTAAATTAGTGCTTTTTAAAGTGTAGTGGATATTGCAAATCTTTTCCAGAAAAGTCTGGAAATTTTTTTTGCCCACAATGTGTACAAGAGTAATTTCAGGCCTTCCTCTGACTTTCTTTGCTTTATGCATTTGATAAGGAGTCTGGACTTGTTTCCTGTCCCCTTACCAGCGCTCAGAACTAACAAGAGACTCACTAAGAAAGTGAGCTGATTCCTGTTGCCTGGCAAACATCAACTTTCTATTCATTCATTCATTCATTCATGTATTTATTGAGCACCTATTATGTGCCAGGCACTGTTCAAGGAACTGAGGATTCAGTGGTGAACTAAAGCTATTCCCTGAAACCAGTTCAGCTTACATGCAAGTTGGTGGGCCAGGCAGTAAACAAGTAGATTTGCCATTTCAGAGAATATAAAATAAAGCAGAATAGGGAGGTGAGAAAAAAGAGTGATGGGCGGGGAGGAATGGGACTGCCGATTTAGAGTACTCAGAAACATCTGAGTGGCCCCTGGATAGAGACCTGAGGGTGTGGGAAGAGTTACAGAGATGTTTAGGAGAGAGCACCGCCATTCCCCAGAGCCTGAACACCTCTGGTGGAAACTTGTCGCGCCTTCCATGGAGCCGGGGACTATATTTGATATAAGTATAAGGGCAGAGTGACAGGAATCAAAGCTGGAGAGATAGAGAGGCCAGAGCCTGTGAACCTAGAGGGAAGCCTTGCTAGGGCACTGAACTCCATCTAAAAGACTAGAGAGTCTCATGAGGATTTCTGGTGACATGTTGGAGTGCTTTGGAGAAAGCTGGTGGGCATCTTTGAGAGCCATTAACCCGGAATAGGGACCAGCATCCTAGCCGCTGACTTGTAATCACTGTCTGCTGAGCTTCTTTCTTCCCTTGTTTGGTGAGGCTGGGCTAGTTGGTGGCTGACAAACACTCTTTCTGTGCTGCCTCTTGCTTACTCTTTCTTTGAGCCCTTTCATGGATTGGAGTGGATGAAAGGTTTCGTGTCAAGAGCGAGCCCAGTCTGGCTTCCAGCCACTGCGATGCCTCCACTTGTCCTCGGTGTTTGGAAAGCGCAGTGAAGCCCCAGCTAGGGCTGTCTGGGCTGTAGCTGTGGGGGCTGTTGGTCGATTTCATTTCTCTTTATTTTTAGTGGATTCCATGCCATACTCAAAAACTAGAGTGACCTCTCTTTTACTGCAGATAGATAGTAAGTAAGATGTGGGGGATAGAGCCTCAGAGGTGATTTTCTTTCCTTTGACTGCTTCAGCTAAGGAGCAGGAACTAAGTAGGGTAACTTGGGGGGCATATTAGGACAAGGTCAAGTTTCCCAGAAGTTGTGCACAGTATACTGAGAAGCTGTGTGTGGGGACACAACCTTGGTCGGCCACATCCCACTTTTAGCTATTACTCACAACATGGTGTGGTCGTTTGTCCTTGGTCTTCTGACAGAAGGACAGGAGCCAGAGTTGGGGGTGCTGGAGGGCACCTGGAGCGAGGTTAAGGGAAGGGCAGGTACTCACAATGGCTGGAAGGTAGCTTTGTGTAGAGCCCAGCCATGGGCAAAATTTTCCCACAGGCTACCTTGGCACTTTCATCCTAGGGTCTGTTCTGCACGGCACTTGCAGTGAACCTGCAAGAAGCCAACTGTATGCTTCTGCCTAAAATTAGGATCTCATTTGTCCATATACAGTAAAGATAAAGATAATTGAAGCTAAGGTAGGTTTGGGTTTAAATGTTTTGGAGAGCCCATTTTATTTACTAAATGATAGTCTATCTGAGGGTAAGCCTAAAAAGACCCTTAGGATATCTTTAGGAAGAAAAGCCCTCACCATCCTACAGTTAAAAACAATTTTAATTTTAAGGGTCGCTGTAAGTGACCATTAAGCTGTCAGGGGAAAAATACCCTGGATGTTATTTGACAAATTTGGATTTTATTGCTATGAAACCTGTGATCATGTCTCAAGACTTTCAATAAATGGTCTGGGAGTTTCCTCCATGTGAGAGGTCAGAGTGACAAGGTAAATAGGGCTGTGGCTCAGACCTTGCTCTCCACTATGGGCAAATGGAAACGGGGGCGGGAAGTCTCATCACTTAGGTGCAGGAAAATTCTGCAGGCAGCCTGACAGTCTCACCTATGTCTGATACTCTCAGGTGAAGTCTCACTTTGCTAATCAGTCACCCTAGCTTCTCACCCCATTTCTTGGCAAAATTGTTATAACGTTAAGGTGTCATGAGGTCTTGGATTACTAGGGATACCTTTTCTTATAAAATATTCTGCCACACACTGAACAGGACACACAATTATAGATACCTCTTTGAACAGAATAACAAATGGTTTTGGATAGCTGATATATAATATCTAAATGTCTACCTCTTTCTCTTTATATTTAATGTGTGTATTTAAAATATATATTTATCACTTCAAATTTGACAAACTGTCAAAGATATACAGCACAAGTTTGAGGTAGGTGTAAGCTTTATAACCAGTCTCTATTAAAAGGACAAAAAAATCAAGTTGAATGGCAGCTCCATTCTGTTTCCAGCAAAGTAGACCAAAGTTTGGAAAAACCAGTGGGCCTGCAAACCACAGCCCAGCGGATAGTAAACCCAAACACCTGCCCTCTCCAGACCACACTAGAGGATGGAACTTTCCCTTGGGATGCTTTCCCCCAGACATTCATTTTAGTAGGGGACTCAGCACTTCTGAAGAGAACAAAATCAATAGAAAAATCAATTGGGAATTGCACTGAACTCTCCCACAAAGAAAACAAATAGCTTCAGTTAATTAGAATGTGACTGTTAATGTGCATTCTGTGACTGTTATGTGATGCACTTAGTATCAGCCAATGGTATGTGGTTGCTTTTATTGAGTAGCTACTCTAAGCCTCATTGCTGGCGGAAGCAAGTAGGTACTAAGGGTCCTCTAGGCTCGGGCTACCCAGCCTCATGTACCTCTGCACCCCTTCATACACGTGGGCCGTTTCCCCAGGAACCTCACAGTTCCTCTGGGTCTTTTCTTTTTACCTCTGTGCTTTTGGAAATACAACCAGACCAACCTTTCTGGCTTGTCCAAATTACAGATTTCCAACAATGTACCTATAAATTTCCTTCTCTTTTACTGAGTTCCCTGGATTCTCCCGCTCACTGCACTAATCAGAGGTCCTCTGCCTAATGTCAAATACATTATTACCATAATAATAGTAATTATAAAGTGAACACAGATTGAACGAAACTGAAAAAGCTGAAACTTAAGATGCTCCAAAATTAGAAACTTTGACAACACAAATGAAAAAATCCTCACCATGAAAGCTTTTTACATGTACAAAATTACTTGAAATATTATATAAAATTGCCTTGGAGCTCTGTGTGTGAAACAAATGAATTTTGTGTTTGATCTCAACTCCAAGCTACCTCAATATATGTGTCCAAGATCTGAAATCTGAGCCACTTCTCATCCCAAGCACTTTGGATTAGGGATGTTCACTGTGTAGTAATAAAAACCAACTAACTAAAAACAAACAAACAAACAAACAAAAACCCAACTAACTTCTCTTAAATATGTTTTAGAAGTACTTTACCTGTTTTATCTCATATAATCATCCCCCTGGCCTTTTGGTAGGGGACATACTGTTATTTCTGTTTTACAGTTGTGGTGACTAAGGCACAAAGGACTAAGTATCTTGCCCAAGGTCACAGAGGTGGGGGTGTCACAGCTGGAATTCAATGCTGGCAAGCTCATTCCAGTGTGCAATGGCCAAACCCCAGGCCCAGGCTTCCTCCCTCTTCAACAGAGACTGTGTTCAGTTCATCTTGATTTCAGCTGTTGCAATGAATTAATAGCTCATCATTTTCCCGATATATCTGGGTAGATAATGAGTAAGCTGGACAGGGCTGGAAAAGGACAGCTCCTCTTTAGGTCTTGGCTCTGGGGAACCTCGAAGCAGGCCCTGTGCTATGCTGTGTGCTGACACAGCCTTGTAAAAGCGTGCTCAACATGTCCCGGGCCTGGACTGATTTTCTTTTTATAATATTCACCCAGTGATGATGTGTACTCATGATGGGACAACGCTACTTCTCAGTCTGTCATTTTTAAGAAAAATTCGTGCAACACTCTGGAATAAGCATGCTGCTTTCAGGATTAGCCTTAATCCTTTTTTTAAAAACTAAGTTTCCCAGAGAAAAATCATACTTTGCTGTTTCTTTTTATTTTTAAATTGAGAAATGTTAAGAATTTAGGAATGCTGACACAGAGGAAATTACAATGTCTTTCTAAATGCCAATGAAAATGCTCAAAATCTGATGAGATTCCCTGTGGTATAAGTTTGTTTTAAAAAATCCTGTAATTCATTTTTTTTTCTTGGCAGACAGATACTTTTAGTGACTAACTTGGAGCTCTTCACCTCTGGTACTACAGGTATTGCTGGGCAGGTATCCATAGACGCCAATGGAGACCGATACGGGGACTTCTCTGTGATCGCCATGACTGACGCAGAAGCAGGCACCCAGGAGGTGAGCGAAGGAGGCTTCTGAAAGGTGACACTAAGAGTGTCTTTGTCCTGATGTCTAGTAGGCCATCTTCAGAATAGCCTTCAAATAAAACAAGTGGAAAACCTGGGGTGCCAACTGAGGACAGCTTACTGTTGGTGGAGGGCCTGGGGGACAGTCAGGAAGTGGTTCCATGTTTATACTCACTGAGGAACCCTGACTTTCAAGTGGTCAAGAATCACAGGCGTCCTGTACTATAGGGACACTGGGAGAAAGAGGTACAATGAAACTCATTTGCATTTCATTCAAATCCCCTTGAATTTGGGGGTCCCCCCCCCCCCGCTTCTAGTTGATTATAAACTCTGCATGTGGTAATGTTTTAAAGACAGTGTGCTTCCAGGATAGCCATTGTGAAGAGAAAAAAAAGACCTGGATGCAGAGTTCAGTCTCTGATGCTTATGGGGGTGTGAACTCTGCTCTGGTTTTCTGAGCAATACGTGGAATTCACAGCGTCTTCCTCACATGACTAGGACTAGATAGCATGAAACCTAGCAAAGTACTATACAGACCTTAACTGATAAGATGCCCATAAGAATTATGAAGATATTCAGTGTTTTAGCAAATAATGCCCCTTCCTCTGTGTTTCCTGGGTGGCTCATGCCCAGGACCACTGCTCCTGTCACCTTTTGTGGCTGTGGAATAGGGGACTTGCTGTTTTCCTCTCTGTTCAGGTGTGCCTGGCTTTTGTAGGAGGGGCTAGGGCAGCAGGCGTGTCCTGTTCTCTTTTCCCCAGTGATAGTCTTACTCTGTCAATAGCCTGGGACTCCTCCGTGTCCACTTTCCCCAATGGAAGCGTGGGAAGTAATAGCGCTTTGTGAGCTTGCCATCAGGAAGGTGTGTGAGGCCCTGGGTAAGAGCTCAGCGCATGCCAGTGATTATTATATTTTGATAAGGAGCTAGGACTCTTCTGTTATTACAACCCAACATAGACTGTGAGAGCCTCTTGATCAGAAGAGAGGGGAGGCCCCCAGACCCAGGCTCAGGCAGCTGATTGAAAGTCTTGGCCAGAATCTGAGGCCCGAAACTGAACCATAAGAGTAGTGATTTTCGAGGGGGGAGGAAGGAGTGTATATTCACCTGGATATTCGGTAGGAGCTGGCTCTTCTTCATAGATCCCTGATGGCTATCTGGGCCTTACAAATAAATGGCTGGCTGTGTGGGCTGCTGTGTAGCAGATGGATGGGGCACTGTCTTATGGGAAGATAAGAAATAAAAAATCTTGACTTTCAAAAGTGTTTACATAGGAGAAAAAAAATTCTCTCTTCCCGCCAGATAGTACACTAAAGAATATTTAGGGAGTTAGGTGTGGTGGTGCATACCTGTAATCTCAACACTTTGGAGGCTGAGGCAGGAGGATTGCAAGTTCAAATTTCACCTGGGGAATTTATCAAGAGCCTGTCTCAAAAAATAAAATAAAATAAAATAAACCAAGACAAAATAAAATAAAATAAGAGGCTGGGAATGCAACTCAGTGTGAACACCTTGGGTTAATTCAATCCCCATACTTAAAAAAAAAAAAAAAAAAAAAAATTAGGGACAACAGAGTCTCCAGTAGGGGCAGACTTTGGGTGGCGGCCTGCTTTGCCACATCCACACCCTCTGAGGGTGACCATGTTGCCTGATGTTTCTCCCTCACACATGCCCACCGTGGCTGCAGCATCAGTGACTTTGGATCTTGACTGACCAGGTCCTCAGCCACCCAGTCAGTCTGTGCAGGAGAGGCGTACACAAGGCCCCGGCTCTTCCGAAGCACTTGCCCTCACTTCCTGGAGGAAGTGAGCTGAGGAAGGTGGCCGTCTGGTTTCCTGGGGACCTAGAGCAGCCTGCTGCCATCAGGCTCATTTCGGGGAGTAGCCCAGCCAGGCTGTGAGCTTTGGGCCTCCTGTGGAAGCAGGTGTCTTAGGCCTTTCCTTTTGTAACTTTGTTTTTTGCCTTTCTGTAGGTTATTGGCGATTACTTTGGAAAAGAAGGTCGTTTTGAAATGCGACCAAATGTTAAATATCCTTGGGGCCCTCTGAAGCTGCGAATAGATGAAACCAGAATCGCGGAGCACAGCAACAGCTCTCCCTGCAAATCATGTAAGCTCAGAGATATAATTTGCTCAGTGTTTCCTCATTCTGTGTGAGGCTCACAGACCTGTTTTCTGGGTTCTCATGCCCTGGAAGTCCTGATTTCTTTTTCTTTTCTTTCTTTCTTCTTTTTTTTTTTTTTTAGCGTGATAAAACTCATGGAAATTATTCACAAACTGGCTTCTGCTTTTCTTAGTGATTTCCAGGTCTTTCTTCCACTCAATTCTCATCCAAAATGGTAGACAACTTCTACCTACTTTTATATCACTTGTTATAATCTCTTAGTTTTTTTTTTTTTTTTAGGGAAACAGCAAATGATTAATTACATACATTACTCACATATTCATGTCTTATAGACATCTCATTCTGTTTCTAAATTTTATAGTTATCCCTCTAAATATTCAGATTCAAATGCCTGAAAATTTGCAGATTGGTAAATGAGTGGATTATTTATGAAGAGCCTCTTCATAAACAGAGGAGTGTTCTTATAACTCACAAATAGAAAATTTATTAGAAATCACTACTTTAGAGAAGTATTTTTGTGAATCATTGTGAAAGAGCTAAGTGAATATTGATTTTTCAGGCTAGTTGGTCTTGTTAGATGAATACATATATGCTCACTATATTTTGACACCATTTTTCAAACTATGAAATATTTATATTCATGCAATGATTATACAGAGGATGTATGGTGAGGATATAATCTCTGGAGTTATTTGGTCTGGATTTGAAATTCCATCTTATTCTTTGCTAGTTTTGTGACAGTAAGAGATTTCCTTCAACTATGTAAGCTTGAGTTTCCCCATATATAAAGCAAAATAAAATAAAATAAAATAAAATAAAATAAACATACACAATTTATAAACCTTGCTTCAAGAAGCAAATGAGTTAATACACTGGAGGTCATATCCAAAACTCTTTGTATGCAAAGCTAGCTATTTTTCATTTTTGTATAACTGGGACACTGAACATGATTGTTTCAAGTTGTTATTCCAATTTTCAGAAAGCTATGTAGGGCATTTTGACATGGAACTCTGGCTTTAGTGAGAGAACATCTAAAAATGAATACTGACCCAATGAGTTTTCACCAAATCTAGCACTTAGAAGTGTCACCATCCATCTGTAAACATCAGAAGTGCTGGGTCAGTGCCTTGGTCAATCCAGTTCTTATCTTTGATTATAAATTCAAAAGACTGTAAATACATCTGGAACCTTTACTTCCCAGTTTTGCTCAAATCTCTCTCAATCTGTTTCTATTTTTGTTCTGTTCACTCTCCTGTAGCACTGTGTTCAGTAATTTTTGAAAAGTTTTTCTTAAACTTTACATTAGGCACTAGGCAAGAAAGTAAAGAAAAAGCAAAAGAATGCAAGATGTCCTTAAAACATTCTTTTTGTTTCCAGTGAGAGACTGAGAGACACATTCCAATAAATGAAACCTGAGGTGTTTTTACTTATTTCCTCAAATGAACCCTGATTATCTGTTTCTTTTTTAAGCAGGTGGCCTAGAAGAATCGGCAGTGACGGGAATTGTCGTGGGGGCCTTACTAGGAGCTGGCTTGCTAATGGCATTTTACTTTTTCAGGTGGGGATCATTTACACAGTTAAAATTACTCTCTTTTCTGCTTTGGTTGCTTGTTTGTGCACAATGTTCCTTGTAATCTGACCATATCTTTTAACCAAGAAGCATGGTAGTTGGGAGAGTTAAGCCATTCTTGTGGTATGACCTCCGGTTTGTGGGTCAGTGGGTTCACACAATGAGTACTGGGTCATGGGTTTCTGTTGTACCATCTATGGGCCAGAGAACTGAGGAGGACAGTCTAGGAGAGTGTCCCCTGTTTCCAGGCTGATCTGTGCTATGCGTCTTGCATGCTTAGCACTAGAGCTAAGCCCCAAGGCTTGTAAGATTGTAATATGTGTGAATGTTCAAAGTTCTGATTGTTCCCCACTGTGAGGGTGGTCCATTCTTTTGTAATGTTTGCTGGTTGAGTTTGTGGCTTATTTGTAAGTCATCAGACTCAAGGGTTGTGCATTTTTGCATGGAATGTAACTCTGGGTATATGTGATCCTTTCCGGGAACAATCGTATTCCTGTTCTCACAGTACACTTCATCTGATCTTTATCTAGGACCTATCCTGGGAGGCAGGCAGAGCTTTGGGGGCAGAATAGATGAGACTTAACCCAAAGGCACCCAGGGAAGAAGGGGAGGACTTGTTCTATGGCATTTCAGAAAGCATGCCAATTTTCTTCCTTGAATAAGAACATAATGCCTTGGGGCACACTACTTTAATCTCTGACCAGGGTTTCATATTCTGTCACTTCTCATTTATCAAACCAAACCCAGATGTCCCTTGAGGGCACTCTTTGTAAGAGAAGCCATAGTATTTTGTAGCCAATTGAGGTTTTATTACTACGTTCACTTTCCCTTTACCCAGGAAGAAATACAGAATAACCATTGAGAGGAGAAACCAACAAGAAGAAAGCAATGTTGGAAAACATCGAGAGTTGCGGGAAGATTCCATCAGATCTCACTTTTCCGTGGCTTAAAAGAAGGCTCTTTTTTTTTTTTCCTGCTTGAGATTCCTTAAGGAGATAGATGGGATAAAAGTCTTCGATGAAACAGAAGGGGTGTTATTGAAGAATTCATTCTTTAAAGCAGTTAGTCATTTTATTTTAATATTTCTTTAGAAGCTCAGGAACTATTATTAATCACCATCTGCCTCCCAGCCTTTCATGTCATGTCAAACAAATATAGGATATAATGTTATTGTGTTCAATATTTGTAGTGCTTGAGGGTATATAATTAGATTTATATTTAAAGAATCAGATGTCTCCTTATCTTTGTGGCTTTTGGGGGGCATTCCACACAAGGATATAAAAAAATGTGGTTTTCTTAAATGAAATGCTTTGTAGTTAGAATAAAATCATTTTAACAAGTAGAGTTAAAGAATTCTCTTGGAAAGAATTTGACACCCGATAAGGAGAAAATATTAAGAAAAATCCCAGTGTTGGAGATTGGCATTGTTCTCAGGAGCTGGTGGGCAACTTTGTGGTTGGGAAGCGCTCTGTCCAGAGTCTGCACTCAGGTCTGATTTCCTATCTCAAGGAAGGAACCTCTCTGTCTTTTTTTCAGTGTCTCATAAAAGTTACTCTGAAAAATGTAAATATTAGTGAGATTGGAGGATTCATGTAAGAAAAACAAGTTTGACATGTTTCTGTTTCTGATGTAAAAAGAAGCCCGAATTCACACTAACATTTTACTTTTAAGTATTTTAATCTTACATGTTGGTATCAGAAAATGTGTCTTTTTTTTTCACTTTGAAAATTTCACTTACATTTTAAAAGCATGGATAAAATGTACAACAAGCAAGTGATGATGAATGATGCTTCTCTTTTACCCATTTCCCACTTCTCTTTGGCTGGAGCCAAATACCAATTAGTGCTTTAATTACAGAAGCTCTGTAAAGGTGTTCAGATTATAAACTATAGGATTACATCAATTTAAGCTGCTTTTACATTTTTAACTGTGCTAAATGCAAATTGCTTTAGGTTTATAGTCCTTCCAGTTCTGATCAAACGATGAGTTACAAGATGAGGAATGAAAAGTTATTAGTGTTCTGCAAAGTTTTATGAAAAGAGATAGATTGTTTCTCTCAAGAGCAACTTAATAGTGAAAATTTGACAGCAGGCACAGAAATGATAAATTTAAAAAATGCATACATAATGCTCACCAGCATTCACAGTGATGACTTTGGTCAAAAGAGGAATCTAAATTTCCACTGTATCCCCTTTCATTCAACTCCACAGAGCTCTGTAGTCACCCACCAGTTGCCTGTGTTAATGGTGGGTTTGGTGTGGTTGCAAGGAATTTTGCAGTTGGATAAGTATTTGCTGGATGTCTACTTGGCATCCACTACTATGCACAGAGGCTTAAACTCAGGTTGGCATCTTTGCTTATCATTTGTAGAGGAACTAGATAGTAAAGAAAGGAATGGAGACTGTCCCATGAGTGTGTCATTGTGTAATATGTCATGAGGGTCTTTCCTTGATAACATTTTCAGCAATAAAATAGCAATAAAAGCCATCCTCATACCTTAAAAGGTCATAAATAGGGAGGGAAACTGGGGTGCTTAAGCAATTCCTCGGCAGTGATGGAAGTCATAGTTCAATGGAGGTGACAGTTTCTAGTGTTCTGAGTCAAGGGAAGGACCAGGTTCAGGGCCTTGGCCTTGCTTGCCTCCCTCACTAGAGGAGACTACATCTGTTACTCATGCTTCGGCCCCACTGAACAGACTATTTGTATGTGAGGTTTGTTTTCTGCTTCTTTAGAAAGTGGAATGCAGGCCTCTGGGAAGACATGGTAAAATAATTACCTATGATCAACAGAAACAACTACCTTGTAGTTCCCCATCCTGTTTGCAAAGAAAAATCATGCTGAATTCAAGCAATGATAGAAAAAAAGAAGGCAAACTCCAGAAATTCTGATGTGGGAGAGAGTTTTAAAAGTAAAATCCAGTAAAGTAAAGTATTTGCTTTCCTTAAAATGAAAAAAACAGTGGGAAGAATTGGTTCCATCTTATGTGAATCAGAGAGATTATTTCTCTCTCTTTTTATTATTTCATGATGTTTTCTAATATATTTTAGTGATATGAACTCCCTATTATTTTGTGTTGATAAGAAATTGCATTTCAAGCCCATGTGGTTTTTTTACAGGGTGAAAAACACTCTTCCTGATTGTAATCTTTGGTATAAACATTTCCGACCTTTCTAGAATTTACATAGTAGCTCATTAATGCCAACATTTTTAGAGCAAATATCTTTTATTTCTACCTTAGATAGAGAAATAGTTATAAATTTAGTATTATATCCCTAGATAAGATTTTAAAGAGAGAATTTAGTCTGTATAAATGGCAGCACAAATCACGAGATTTTTGTCATGCAAATGTCATTTTCTTCTATTTTTGAAGCAATCTCTAGTGTTCTTAAGGTTGATTGCTTATTTACATTTTTACTGTCTCTTTTGTTTCCCTTGAAATCTTTACATGGGTTACCAATGCTTTATTGAATTTGGAAAACACCATTAAATTGGGAAACTTTTGCTAGGAGTGTAGAAGTTTGGCTCAATGTTGCCCTGGATTAAGATCTCAAGATTATATTTTCAGACTTAAGTTCCTAATTGCTAAACAACATCTTTGACAACTGTTCATTCACACTCTTCCAGTAGTCACATGCTAAGGTACATAGCGGGTAGGTTCTTAAATCATGCTCTGAAAATCAGGATGTTCAGAATTCTAAGTGGATATTTTATCAATTGATTTGTCATATGCTCACATTCATATAGATCCACATGAGTATATACTTTTTGGTGTTGGGAATAAGTACAGGATTTATTACTGATGTAGATTTTGGCAGGTGGGAGGAAATCCCAAATAAAATCTTGTCCTGCATGATAACTTATATAGGGAATGATCTCTCCCCACAGTGGAATCACAGGTTTTATGAGGAATAACCCTGCATTTCTCTGAAGAACTATCAACTTGTCTTTTTTTGAACCACAGTCATGATTCCTCAGGCCTTATAGTAGTTCTTTACATTTCAGAAGCTATATTTAATGGAGGGAGAAGAGAAACATAGGGAAAGAGAATAAACACCTTCTTTTCTCCTCTCCCTGAGGTTCAGACTTCTGCTTTGGAATACCATGTCACTTCTCCCATTCACAGGTTCCCAGGGCCATCTACTTACTCAAGGTACATGTGCCTTCTTTGACCCTAACTTATTATTTTTTCTTCTGGTGGGACTGATTTTGAGGGCAGTGAAAACCAATGTAGACCTTAGACAAACAGTGATGGATTTGGAAGTAGGTTCTAATGGCATCGGCACTTTCTTGTAAATGAACGTATGCTGGCTATTTGCTGAAGTCTCTTTAGGAGACCCAACAGAATATTGTGCCGTTGGTATTAAGGGAGTGTTTATAAACTCTAAGGAACAAGTGCCTATGTTTCTTGGGACATAAAGAACTCACATCCCAAATGGACACAGTCATAAAGGCAAACGCCAACCAAAATTAGGCCCCTTGATCTATGTGTCATGGATTTTGTTTAGTTACACCCTGTGGTTCAAGCCTTCATAGGAAGTTGGTAATGAGTCGAATTTCTTGTTCAGTGGAAAAAACTAAAACTGTCTAAAAACACAGGATATATTTTAGGGGCAGAGTGGAAGCAGCGAGAGAATCAAATGGTGGTGTTCAGAGGGACCAGTTTTTTTTTTTTTTTCAGTTGGTCTTTAGAACTAAATAATAATAGTAACAATTTAGTCCCTCTTCAACATCAAGACTCAGCAGGAAGGTTGGGACACGCCCACAGGAAGAATCTTTTGACCCCCCAAAGGAAATGGGGAAGGGTATCTTTGCAGGTTTCTTTTGTCTTTCCCCTCTTTCCTCACCCAACCCCACCTGGCAGCCATCATGACTCCAAGGGTGTGTCAGCATCTTGCCCAGGAAGGTGGGAACTTATGAGAAGGTCTCTATACTTCCTCAGAGGAAAAATAGGTAAAATAGTGATGGCTGGAAGAAAAAGGCCGTCAGAGCCCCTACACTAACGTGGCCACACAGCCCTGGGGACGGTGATGTGTATCTCCTTCAACAAGTCTGGCTTTGGTTTTCAGCACACAGATTTCATAAATGTCTCTTGAACGTATACGCCATTGCTAAAGTGCAGAATTAAAATAACTTTCAAAAGTTATTGCTGGGTTGGAGTTTGTTCAAATTTCTTTGATTTTTCAGTTAATTTTATTGGTACATTTGAGATATACATAATGATCACATTCACCATAGGGAATTTGTACCTGTCCACTGTATATCTTGATTCATCTTTCAAACTTCTCATTAACCACTAATGTTAATTCATACCAAAGGCAAAGCTTTCTAAGCCAGCGGAGGCTGTTGACATTCACACTTTAAGCTACTTCAAATACTATGAAAGCTTTTGTTGAGAGCTGAGACTCAGCATTAAAAATCCATACGTTTTAACAGTTCTTTGATGTGTCAGGTGTGGGAGGGTTCTTCATGGAAACTTCTGAACAAATAGAATTAAGAGATATCAAACATGTTGTGTTGCTGCACTTCAAAGATTTAAAGGCCTAAATTTCTATGCATAAGGAACAAAGGTCACTTATCACATGTTTATTCATAACATAAACTACCAGTTTGATGTTGCTGTTACAAAAATAATTATTAGTGGACAAAGAAAACTAAGAAAAGGAAGTCTGGATTTTGAAATGGGCTTTGTCTTATTTGTTGTTCAATGTGAAGATCTGAAAATGTTCAATGTCATGTATCTTATAAGACAGCAATGAAATGCCCCTCAACAGCACAAAGAGGGTGTGAATTTGTGGACCTTTGTGTGGGGTCCTGGGAGTTAGAGCTTTGTTCCCTGTGCATAACTGAAACCAAGAGGACACAGGATAGACATTGTGGAGGATAAAGGCTGTGTGCTTGTCTTCTGAGCCTTAGTACTCATTGTTAATTTAAATATAGGACTGCCAAGCAATGCAAACTTATCATGAGTCCAATAGAGAAGTCAAAGTAAAAGCTGCACAAGCTACATACAGTTTATGATTCTAATGTAAGTAGAACTATCTGCATATAATGTGATTTAATTTATTGTTGTTCTGTGTAGAAATTAAGAATTAATGACTGTGGATATAACCTCTGTTTTGTATAATGTATTTTATTTCTGGTGCATTTAAAATATCTACTTTATTTGGTGTTTGGATATAAATGTGTATGTATTCTTATAAATGTTTCTATTATGCAAGAATGCCACCTATTCTGACTATAACAATGTGTTCTCATTAAAAAATACATCCCACAGAAATCTTTTCATGTTTGTAATTTAACCCATATATACATAACTTGTATTCATGTTCTCTGAGGACTTTCTTATAGGGTTAATTTAAGTAAAAGATCAGTAGTGGAAATGGTGTATTATAATGTTTGAAGAGTACCTATGAAAAGACTCAAGAATTTCTGCCCAACAAACCCAGAATTAAGAAAATAATATATTATTAAAATAAGGGACAAACTTTGAATTGGCAGGTGATGGAATAAATCTTCATGAATAGTATCCACTTTCTTAGGTCTCTACAATTTGAGAATACTGGTTGGCCTCACTGACTTGTGTTGTTCTGTCTCTTGCCCACTTTCAGGAGATTCTAAGTCCATTTTGTCACATATAGGAACTGCCTAGGATCCTGAACGTTAGGCAGAGGGTCCAGCTTCCAGCATCTGAAGTCATACTGGATGGCCCTGTCAAATTACTCATGATTTCTTTTAACCTTAAAAATCACATAGTATCTATAAAAACAAACAAACAAAATAGAACAAGAAAACCCAAACCCAAAACCAAACCAAGCCAAACCAAAGCACATAGTGATTCCCATGGTTGGAGCACTGTTCCACTCATGCTGCAGCAGCTGTTGTGAGATCCCTTGCCTACACCAGATGCCTCTCACCCCAGACACCGGTGTGAGGAGAGTCTGCTGAATGGTGCTGTTTGAGGGTGAGGGACAATGTGGGAAAGTTTGTCAGCAGTAAAGGGTCGAGTCAGGAAACCCTCTCTTGGAAACAAATATTCCCACTCCTTTCCCATATCCCCTTTGGAGCCATGGGCTCCTGGAATCTTTCTATCTATCCCTACCACTGCAGTTCCCTCTGATCTTCACGTGTATCCCAAATCTCACAGACCAATGAGGCCCCACGATTGTGATGCCTCCTGAGCCATACCCCATGGAGGAGCCCTAGGGAGCTCCAAACATGGGTTTCTGGTGTTGACTTACATAGCAATTACTATTGTTAGTGTCTTTTAAAATTTACTTAACCACCTATTAGCATAGAACCAGAGCCAAGAAAAAGAATTCCTTTTGCAGGCCTCATGATCCTTAGCTGCTGAAGCTCTTGAGAAGAGGAGGGGAGGAAGATAAACAGTGGGTGGGCAGGGGGAAGGCTGTGCTATATACTTTGTGCTAGCTTACCATTCACTCTTCATGCTAGTTGTCATTTTTGTTTTATAGATGGGGACACTCTGGAGCCAGCCTCCTGGGGTTTGTAGTCTGGCTCTCAATTTTGTAGCACTGAGAACTTGTGTGAAAATGAGGATAATGCTAGTCTTCCCTGGTTGCTGTGAAGACTTCAGATCTAAAATGCTGCCTGGTACTTTGTGAAACACTCCATAGAATTGTTAATATACTTGCCTGTCTCATTGGACAAGGGGACAAACACCCCATAGCGGGTGGAATTTGAGGTCTTTCAAGACAATAAGAGTCCCTGCCATTGAAAATCAGAACCCTCCTCCACCACTGATTTCAATTTTTTGGTGGGAAGTAACTTTGGTCTGTTGGAGAGTGAGGTGAGAGATAAGAGATCCCTTTTTGTGTGCAGATTCCTTGGAAAAGGTCTGGACAGGATTAAGAAGGAGGCAGTGATGGTCACAAGCTGTCAGAGGGCCAGATAAATTTCCTTCCGATTTGTTTGATTTGTTTTTTCCCCGCTCTGGGTGGAGAGCAACATTGTGCCCACAGGTCACTCACTGCCTTCTGCTCCCTCCTGAGCTCTCCACCTGGCAGAGATGGCCCTGCAGCTCGCTCCCCAGATTTTACCCACTGGGCAGCTCTAGTTGTTTATAGCAGAACCTGCTTCCTCATGACAGAGAGGACTTTCATGTGTCCTGAAGAACAGCTTTGCCACCCTGACGGTGCTCAGACTAAGTCTTCCATGAGTGTGCTGGAGTTGTGACCCAAGTGAAGCACCTCATTAAGGGTGTTAGTGAGTGGTGCATTTCCCGGTGTAGACAAAAGGGATTTTTATTTCCTCTGCTGCTGCAATGGGTGAGGAGAGATCAGGTGTCATCAGGCTGGTGGAGAAGGCCACATCAGAGTAACCTCTCTGGAACCAAGGCCGCATGGTTCCTGGCACTCCTAGAGGCCTTTGCTTCCCAGGCCTAGCAGCCCAGGAGACCAGGACAGAGAGGACACTGTTCTTCCAGGAGGGCTTCTGACAGTTCAGCGTGAGGTTGCATTTAGGGCTTGCTCACTCCTTCCAGATGCTCTCCAGGTGCATAGAGCACTCTGTAGAGTAGTCAAGGAGGGCCAGCTGTGCAGGAATGGACCCCACCCCCACCCCCAGGAGGAATGTCTTGGATGGCAGGGTATTTAATGCTTTCAGGCAAACATCTGGCAAGAGACCCTATTGAAATAGAACTTGCCACCTAGTATCTTAACCACATGCTACTCCACTTTAGGACTATTCTCAACATTTTATTCAGAAGAAAAACGATGAGCATAGCGCGTGTGCCATTTCAATTTGGTGATACTATCGAAATTTCTCCAGGCCTAGATCAGACTAAACACCTTAAATATGTTTGTTTATTTAATTCTCATAACAGTCTTAAGAGGTAGGACTATGATTTTCCTCTTCATCTTAGAGGTGGGTAAACTGAGGTACAGAGACATTAAGTAACTTGTTGAAGATCTCAGAGCCTCTAGGTGGCCCAGTGGTGATTTAAAGTCACGTTGCTCTTTATCAATAAAGAATATCTCCTGATAGTCCTGATATTATGAAGATAATGTGTCCTTTGGGTCATTATAGTCATCTAATGATAATCACAATTAAAGCCATTGTGAAATATAACTACATTGTTTTTCAGTATTACTCTTGACATTTTGAAGTTTCTTTTTGGTATTGGGAATTGAACTCAGGGCCTCATGCCTGCCAGGCAGGACCTGTACTGCAGAGCTATAGCCTTGGCTAAAGTTTCATTTATTTAAGAGCCAGAAGTCAGAATAAGGGCTCCAGAATCCCAAAGCTTCTCTTGCTATGCAAGGAAAATTTTACAAATTAAAATCTATCATGAAAATAAAAATTTAATATTCTCATAATAGGAATCAGCAATACCAATATAAATTGTTCAGTAGGGTTTGGCTTAACTTTCTCACTGTTTAGTAAGAGGTTTTGCTGAGGATCCTGGAAAACTAAAACTTTTATTTCTGCAATAATTTTCTGCTATGTAAAACATGTAATTTATGCTTTCATTAAACATAAAAATTAAAAAAAAAAAAAACATAAAGTCAAGCTGCCGGCTGCAGACAGTACCTCTACCGAACTGCCTAAAAATAGACAGGGTCACTTCCGGTTTTCTGCCAGTAACCTCTCTCCCTTCATATCCAACCAGACTCCCTTTCTTCCCCTCCTCTACACTTTTACTTCTGTTCCACCAGATCTCCATCAGCTTTCTCTATCATGACTAGGAAGCAAGCTTGCAAATCTTCCCTTTTACTTATTTCTCACATAACTGCTGCATCACACTTTCTAAAATGCGTGCCACAACGTGACAATGTTACTCTCTTGCTTAGTAACCTAGAGCGACTCCCTACAAATCAAATTCCACATGCTGTTCCCGGTGTTCACAGGACTACACCCCTCGGGTTCTATTCAGCGTTCTTTTCGGTAATAGTGTTGAACTTGACTTACTTGAATTGATTTCTTTCTCACTCACAAGACATTCCCTGTATTACCTTTGCCTTATCATTCCCACTGTGCTTTCTGTCTGGAAAACTTTTGTCTTCTAATTAAGTCAGTCTGTCCTTCACCTGAACTCTGAATCCTAATTCCTCTCTAATCTTCCCGTTTGTCCTAACCTCCAATTAGCTCTATTTTATTTGTGGGCCTTTATTATTCTAAGGTTAATGAATTGGGGGGCTGCAGATGTATTTTGTTGGGCAGTCGTTGTTTAGAAAAAAGTGGAATTAGAATGTCTTTGGATGGGGTGAATGCTCTTCAGCTTGACCAGATTCCTACACTTCCAAATGTCCTCACACTCGGTTTTCTTCATCAATTTATTTTTGGGACTTGTAAACTGAGTGCACAGCTAATTGGGTGGACATGCAGGGCTTCGTGCCATATCGCTTGTTGTCACCTTATTTGTCCTTTTAATATCACAGCCTCCAAGTGGCTGGTCTCCAAAGAATTCTCTGACGCTGTGGATTTGTTTCTCTCCCTTCAGCTTCTTTGTCAAGTGCTAGTTCTGAAACAAAATATTTCCTACACCTGGAGAATTATTTCCCAAAGAAACTCAGTCGGGTTTTTGTAATGTCAATAATCAGTTCATCATATTTCTGCTTTGTGAAATCAGATTTTTAAAGAATTTAGAATAGTCTTCAATGGTCCATTATAAGAAGAGCTCTAGAATTTCAATCCCTACTCTTCTGCTTCTCAGGTGTGTGGACTCCACAATCCAGAGGATCTTTTGGAGCCTCAATTTACTCATTTGTATAATCAGGAGGACAATAACTACTTTGTAGAGCTTTAATGCGCTGTCTGCTAAAGAAGTTCAGTAAGGAAGCCATTAATACTTCCATGGTATAATACCTTAAATGCCCCTCAGTTTCTTGGGATTTTGATGCCAAGAGTGATCCATAACCGAGGCTGTGAGGTCTTATCAGCGTGTGACCTGAGAGCAGATATACGTCATGTTCATTCACATCCTCCTGTCACAGCCAAGGACACTCGGCGTGCAGGACTGTGGGTGTGCCGCTCGTGGTTCTGAGCTCACTGGGCAGCTTCGGTCTTCTCCCACAAGCTATATCTCTTGTAGTCATCATTGCCTATAAGGTAGACACTGCGGTCATCTCTGAGAAGAGAGGTTAGACAATTTAACCTGAAATGCAGTCAGAAAATGACAGAGTCAGGACATGATGTGGGGGAATCTGGCCACAAACCCCAAAGTGCCCTTTTGCTCTGAAATATGCACCTTTATATTTATTTTGTATCCAATTGACTTAGAGACATCTGCTAGATAAGTACTTGCTGGCTGGTTCTTTT